CAGAAGAGGACTGGAGTTGAGTCTAGAGACAGAGACAGGGAGAGAGATGAATGCGATTGTTGCTGTGTCTTCCTCTTTGTCACCAGCTTCCTCTGATCAGCCCTGGCTAACTTGTAGTTATATTTTTCTATTATCTTCAGCAGTTAATTGAATAAGCACATTGTAAGGTAAGGTTATATAGGAGATTTTAATCACTGACCACCAAGACAATGATTAATTAAAAAAGGAATGCCACACTAATTATAAATGACAGAAAATATTTAATAGAAGAACAGCAGGTTGAAGCTGTGCTTTGAAAGGAACCCAATCAGATTAGTCAAATGTGACATGCTTGGAGCAGATAACAACTGACCACTTTAGACAGGGCCATGCTTGCAGGTACCTGACTGTCAGCACCTGGAGTACCAGAAGGTCAATAGGAGGATGAGCTGTTCATGGGCAAAACCCACAAACTCAACTTTGCTGTTCAACCCAAAAATCTATTTTCCTTTCAAATGTGGCACCATTTATGGTGAAATAAACAGCCTTTCTAACAGAATAAGATTTATTGTAAAGAAGCATTAAGTTTATATTATATTCCAGTCACCTTCAGGTCTTTCTCCCTTTGCATCTGGCCATTTACTATTGCTAGAAATTGCTCACACTGTTGTGCTGATTTATGGTCAAATTAATTTATATATTATGTCTGAATGAACATACAAAATCTGTAAGCATGGAGAGTTTTTGAAACAGATTATTTCTATTTACCATTTATAGCCCATTTGTATTCCAAGTTATTTTTCACCAATTACTTTAAAACACAGAGAGTATAAAAGATGTGATGTCACCTAATGGAGCTGTCAAGTCCTGTTTTGAAGCCTTAAGATAAGCATCGCGGCCATCACCACCTTGGTTGCTAAAAGCCACATTTGATGAGAAGGAGTGATTCTAACTATGTAACTGCAGGTTATTAGCTAACGACTTTTGACTGACAAGTCAAAGAGTGTGCAATTACATACCTCCAAAACCAGTGACTGAGCCCATAACCTTAGCAGGCAAGTGTTTATAGAGGTCAAAATTAAAAGCTGTTTTTGCAGACTTTTTGGAAACTTGACATGTTTTTGTCAAAAACTTCCAAAGTGCTTTTTAAAACAAAAACAAAAACAAAGGAAAGATGGATATACAAAGTTCTCACAAACATTTCCAAATGTCAAGAACTGGAGTGAGAAGTATCATCAAGAAATTCAAAGAGAGCCAAACAATACACAACAAGCCTGGTAGAGGTAGGAAGCAAACTATTAGAAAGAATCTGGAAAGAAACTTAGTTATAGATGTGAACAACTGCTGAGACACAAGATAACGACTGAGCCAAGTTCGTCTCAAAGATGACAATCAAAAGAACCCTGCACAAAATTGGACTATAAGGTTGCAGAACAAGAAAAACTTCTGCAGATGAACCACCTTTAAGCCCACCTGAAGAATGCTAAAGACAACCTGGAGAAAGATTATGCAAACTGGAAGCACACCTTTGGGTCAGGTGAGACAGGACTATAGCTCTTTTGTCACAGAGATGCTGCTTATGTTTGAAAGCAGCATCTCTTTCAAACATAAGCAGTCAGCTGACAGAAAAGTACAAATGGACATGACAGGACTTTCAGAACGATCTAAAAATAAATGAATGAATAACAGCCACATTGAAAAAGGTCATTGGTGCTTTATGAGATGAACAGTGCTGAACTGTGAAATCATTGTCCCTGATCTTTGTAAGAGCTCCCAATCACTGTGATTTCAGCTTGAACGAAAATGCTAACAAAAGACTGATTATTGTTTCTGAATTTTGCAGACATGACCAGACAAACACTATCATCTCTTTAAGACCTAGGCCAGTTTTAAAAATAGACTTTAACCTGAAAAAAAAATCCCTAAATTCATTCAGTAACAGATGCAAAACTGTGAGGGCCACAATGAGCAATCGTGCCAGGCCAGAGTTCATCTAAGGATATTGTTGATGAAAACTATAAATCGGAAATTCAAGAATTTGATGTACGTTGATTTAATGGAAA